TTACAAGTGAGGGACTCGCTTGAACATGAAATGGAATCAAATCATGAATGATGCATACCCATGATTTGTCACTTGAGTTTCTCCTAGTAGTAGTGATAAACAATCTTTTGCTTTGTGAACATAATGTTTAACATTTTACTACTTATCAAACTCATGTTTTCGTCAAAGAGCTCTTAACATAGCTACTTTGGTTACATTGGAAATTGATGGATCTTTAACTTTTGAATGCTTTTGTACAATTTAAGTTGCTTGGTTTGTAATGTAATGGATTTGGGGTTGAGGTCAACATTTGTTTCACTTTTGTATGTAATTACAATTAAATTGGCCGGTAGGTACATTCATGGCTATAGGTGTGTGAATACATCCGGGCTGCATGTGTGCAAATATATAAACCGTTACATTACATAATTAATCAGGGCTAATGTATTTTCAAAACCGTTACCCTTGTGCATGTTTAAACTGTTACATTTGTACACAATCTGTTGTAACATTTATGACATTGTTGTGAGGACCATTACAATTGGTCATAAATTTTGTTACGAGCTGTTACATTAGAGCAAATGCAACGCGAGCGAATGTAACGACGAGAAACTATTACAATAAGTCAAATGTAACAGTTTTTTGGACCAAAGGTCACGAATTCTGCTGTTACAAAAGACCCGAAAATGTCGTAGTGATTGGTCACATTTTTGTATATGATCTTTATTTTAGTCATAAATATGTAATCATTTCAAATTTTAAATTGAGAATTTTAGAAGTATTTACTTTATACATACTACAATCCATCTAATTTTTATTCATGTAAAGTACTTTCTACTTTATGTATTTGAATGAACACCTTAATGAGTATTGACTTGCCTATAATGATTACTATCTTTTGAAGATTCATTTTGTAAAGGGATAAGGCTCAAATTGGACACTATGGTTTCATCAGAATCTCATATTGGACATTAAGGTTTCAAATGGACCAAATTAGACACTATGGTTTCATATGTATCTCATATTGGACACTAAAGTTTCATAATTCAACATAAGTGAGTGTCCAATTTGATCTTTATCCAATATAAGTGAGTGTCCAAAAGCTATGAATTATGAAACTTTAGTGTCCAATATGAGATATATATGAAACCATCGTGTCTAATTTGGTCCATTTGAAACCTTAGTGTCCAATATGAGATTCTGATGAAACCATAGTGTCCAATTTGAGCCTTATCCCTTTTGTAAACGAACGAAATTCTCAGCTTTTTTCTTCAGCAAATCTTATATTTGAGCATATGAAACCACAATATTTGACACAACAATGAGATTTGCACAAAAAAATATAATGAGTGTAATGAGAATCGGTTAATCATGCATGCCTTCACAAGACCCCAAAATTCTTCATAGAGAGACAAAATCAGGTGAGAAGTGTCCCTTAAAATGAGAAGTGAGAAGTAATCTCAACCCTTGGATTTGCATGTGATCTTGCAACGCAGTAAACTGATAGACTGAATATAGAAACTTATAACCAATAAATCATAACTTATAAAGCTCTCCATCATAATTACGAAAATGTCACCGCGTCCAAAAAATTTCAAGGTTTCCAGGCTTATTTTCTGTGGTGGCATTTTCGTAATTATTTTCGAGGGGGTCTATAAGTTATGATTTAGTAGTTAAAAGTTCGTGTTTTTAGTCTATAAGTTAAACTTCACAGTTCTCAGCCTAATGACACTTCTCACCTGATCCGCTCCCTATATATATATATATATATATATATATATATATATATATATATATATATATATATATATATATCATTCTAATCCTAACAAAAAAAAACATTTTTCATTCTCTTCAATGGAGGACCTAGGGGGGTTCTGGAGGGTCAAATGCCCGGCTTCTGACCCCGAAATTTAGTAATAGGACTTACGCCAAAAAATTGTGCCCCTGTCCGAACAAAAAACAATTTGATATGAATGATTCCATACAATAGATATGTGGTTTATATAGTCACTACAATTTCTTTGAAAAGTGGTATTGATGATTTTTTGCTAAGTATAAATAACATTTGTTCAAAATTAGTGATCAAAGATATGACAAAGCTTCTAATTTGTCGGATCAACTTAATAAATTGAACATTTTTTTCTTGAACAAAAACTCATACATGAAAAAATATCCTAATCCGCGATAAATAAGTGTCAGCCACGACAGACCCTTTGACTTTTGTATTGCAAGATCTTGATAAAAGTTAGATTTGTAAAATTATATTATTAAATAAAGTTGTATTGAAGGATGGACTAATAACAAACTTGAATTATACTTCATTTTTAGCACAATAGTACTACGTATTATATTTCAAACCGTTACCAAAAATATTGTGGCACAATGTGTAGCGTTCAACATGATCTTAGTTCAAAACTGAAATCTTGACCATTTTATAGTATGAAAGATGAAAATTCTAATGTAAAATAAAAAATGGTGCAAGGATGATTCATTTCTAATCCAAATTGTGCTTTTCTATTTTTTTATCGTAAATTATGCTTTTCTGTTAGAAATTAAGATATTATTATTGTTTAGAATTATCATAAAGAGTTCAAAACTGGACATCTAATCCACAAATGTTCAGCGCTTGATCTGAAACCGCCATTGAATATATATTTTCAGTGAAAACTAATAATCTGAATGGATCAGACAAAATAGACCAAGGGTATGCCCGACCCGTTCCTTCCATGCGACAGTGCCCCGCTTTGGAAAATTTCTGGTTCTGTCACTGATTCCCTCTATCCGGGAGTATGTATATCTTCATACCGTCATTCTTATTACAACAAAAAATGTTCTTCTTTTTCAATGTATCCTCCATCGAGTCCAATATAATATCGTTTCATATAGCTTTTCATTAACAATAATTTTAGGAATCAATAAAATTCATGAATTAACACAAAAATGGAATGTATATTAACGATAATATCTCCACACTTGGTGCATGTGTGAGGGTTTGCACATATGAGAAGAATAGAAGAGTGCCAAGGAGAAGTGCAGAGCGAAGAAAAAAAGCAAGGAAGAAAGTGACAAGAATATGTGTGCTAAATTTAATGGATTGTGAAACCCAAAAGGGTTTGTTTAGATTTTAATTTGGGTGGAAAGAGTGGTTCATTAATGTAGAGTACAATTTCATTAAAATCAATTCAAATCCCTTAAATAAGTAAATAATGAAAATTCATTAAATATTTGAGAACACCTAGATTTCAATATATTTCATAGTAATCTAAATCAAGGACACTCATCCATGTGGAATTTTAAATTTCATTAAAATCAATGTTGGGGAAATCCTCTTAAAGTTCCCCTTGGCCTCTTATAGGAACTCTTTTTCATAATATCTTGTATTGATTATTACTTCCAATGCATGGTGTGATACTTTGGCCATGTTTGTTTTTCAGCGGTTTGGTCCTACCCGCTGCATTTTGCAGCATTTCATAGTTCAAATTTTCAACGGTTTAGTGTTGCCGCTATTATCCAAACAGGCACTTTAAACTTGTTGTGAACTAATATGTACATAAAAAATTCTAGGCAAGATAGATGAGAGCCTTAAGATACCGGTCGTCTGCATGACACCAAAGCCAAGCTCACAGCATATTAGTTCACAAATGTGTGAGTTCATTTTATTCACAAATCTCGAGACTCGATATCTTTATGAGAAAGGATCATCTCATTTCATCGACGAGAGCGAGTGGCGGAGTTGCTTTGTTCAAAGAAGTTTATGTGAACAACAAAAAATTCAAATACGTAAAGATTCAAAATATTGTACTTGTTTTATATAGTACTACCTCCGTCTCGTTATGATGGTCTCATTTTACCTTATCGGTCCGTCCCATTAAGATTGTCTCATACCAAATTTGGTAAAGTTTGTGTGGCTCTAAATAATTCTTACTTTATTCTTACTTTATCAATTCAATATCAACCACATAAACCACTTTTTATTGATTTGGGTGTCACTCCCTTTTGTCCCATTGTTAGCGGGACGGAGGGAGTAAGATCGAGGTATATTTTACTTTTTAGACTGTTTAGATGATTTATTATTCTGAAATAAATACATAAGATCGTATATATAAATATATAATCTTTATATCCAATAATACTATGGTTAGAAACATATGCTAAGAGAATTTATATGTTCCAAATTAATGTGCTATATGATATTAAGACCCCTTAAATTTGGAGATTTAATATTTTAAAAGAAGTGGCTCTTAGTAAGAGTAAAAATAATGCAGAATTCAAAAAATAAAACACTGTTTTTAATTCGTTAGACAGAAATAATTACTATTATGCTTGAGAATACAAGTAAAATTTAGAATGGCAGTAAAGTATTGGTATTTAGGGAATGAAAAATATTTATCCCGTTTTTAAATTTTTTTACTTATTCTACTCGCATTTTAGAATTTTTTTTCTTTCTTTTAATCAATGATGACATTTGACCTATCAGTAGACCAAAAAAGATAATCTTTAACATTAGTTTTGCAAGGTTTTTTTTTAAGATTTTGAAATGAATACACAAATCCACATTATCAGCCCAAGTTTTTGTTATTTACAAAAGTACTCCATTTACTACATACGGAGTACTTCGTATTATTTTACTCTACTTACAAATATCGGTACTTTTTTTATTACTGACTTACAAATATCGACATAAAATTAAAATTTTTTTAAAAAAAAGTACCCACATTTTCAACCTTGACTTTACCGCAAATACAATTCTCTGACTCTAGGGTGGCCTCAGGCAAACAAAAGGGAAGACAATTTGTCAGTGAGACAAATATGAACAATTAAATGGATAGAGACCTGTGAAGGCAAATGCATGCCTTCTTTCCCAATTCTTCTTACTTTACTGCCAAATTTGTGTAAACTGTTTCACTTTTGTGCATTGATTTTCAACCTCTCAGATGATAAAAAGAGGAAAAGCAGACCATAGTAAAGAATTATTGATGGGACCTATGTGAGAATCCATCAAAGAAGCCTGCTTTTCAGTAAAAATCATTGGCAATATATATCAGAATTAGAATGAAAAAAAAAGTACTATATTAGATTACAATTTCTCTGTCAGGGTTACAATTATCATGGAGTATACATACCACATCTTCTCTTCTCAAAGCATCAGAAACAACAACAAAAATAAAAGGTCAAAAAATGAGAAAAAACTCCAAAAACCCTCAAAGAAAGAATGATTATTTTCACCATCTTCTTTCACATTCTCTTCCTATATCTAAATCTCAATCCTAGCCAAAAAGGGAAAAGGAAAAAAAACAAAGAAATCCTGAAACACAATAACTGTCAATTACCCACTTGGCAGCCTTTTTAACCAGCTCAGTTAATCCTGCAAAACAGTGATGATATTTTTAATTAATATCCAATCTTTAATCCATGTTGAGAAGCCTTCAGTACAAAAACTAAAGACATGTTTGGTAGGTGTTATTTGGCTGAAATGGCTGAATTTCCCCAAATGAGTGATTTTTGGTATCACCCATTTCAACCAAATACTCCGTAAGAAATTATGCTGTTACCAAACGGAGCCTACTAGGGGAAGACTAAAATGTTTACCTAACTATAGCAGAGGAAAAATGATTGCCAAGTGGAGTCCAAATGGGGCAACCATAGTGGGAGATGTTAAAAGCTGCTATAATGTTTCCTACTTCAAATGTTATTTGTAGTAACTGGAAATAAATGGGATGTTGTCATTAGAGCTGTGTTTGGTTAGCCATCAAAAGTAATCTTGAATATCTACACCTGAGATTAGAGAAAAATAAAGCAAGTGATTAGGAGAGTTCATTAAAATGGAATCTTCATCACTCCCGAGGAAAAGAATAAAGAGACCCAAACAGTGCTGACTCTCTTTTTGTTAGTGGGCTGCATAAATACTCTGTCCCCCCTGAATACCATTTTGTTGTTTCTTCAAATTTGTTCAAAATATATTTGGATTTAATAAAAATGACTATATCCTAGGAGTATATTCAATAACTAAGATACTAGGATTACAAATTTTAGCAGAGATTCCTTCCAAGAATCTCTACCACCAAAGACAAACTATGATTTTTATGTTGTTTATATACCAATTTTAGTCCCAAGATTTTGATGTATTTAAGACTTAGTGTCACAAGGACACTAAGACCTCGTTTGAAATGATTTGGTTGTTGAAATTATATTACTGGAAATTGGGTAAATGGGAATTGAATTACAAGAAAATTATATAGGCAGAAATTCATCAAATTCCTAGGAATGTGACAAAATCCAAAGCATATTTAGAATTTGTAATTCCTTCAATTTGACGAATTGTGGTTTATATGGAAGCTCGAATTCCCTTATTCCCCGAACAAGAAGTCATTCCAAACAAGGCCTTAACTGTACTAGGAAAATTGGGTGAGAACTTACCAAAAATTGAGGATTAATATCCTTCCCATCCTATCCTCAAAAGAAGCAGATTTCTGTATAACCATGTGAGTAAGGCAACAGTTCCTCTACTTCAATCCTTGTGTTTGAACAACTCATGCTTTTCCTTAAACGGGCCGGGATGGACTCCACCTCAGCAGAAAACAAACTGGATACGGGCCGGTGATCCGAGAATCTTGATTCTCCGCGGGAATATGACAATTGCTGAAGACCACCTCCGTACCACAAGATCCGGTCACACCTTCAAACATGAAAATAGATTACTTAATAAGTTAAGTCATTGCATTCACCACCTTGGTATTTTCTGCAAATTCAGATATATTTTTCAATGATGGTTATGAAATGGTTATTCGGCTGAAACAGTTGAATTTACTGAAAGGAAAGGTAATGTGTTCGGTAAAATCGGTTTCATCAAAATGAGCAAGCCAAAGGCTACTAAATCTTGCGTATAAGCCGAATAGGCTCATTAAAGCTACCAAACTGAGCCTTAGTTACAGAAAATCCGTTACCAGGCAGGCGTTCGACGCTTCTCCTTTGGATGCATATCATCTCCAGCATATCTGTCAGAATTGCGTGAATATTTATACGTTGGCGGGAAATATATTTTTCCTTCTTTCCAGCCAGCAAAGACCCGGCCTCGTGTTTGTTCTATCCGGAGCTACAAAGAACACTACAGATGGTAAATATTTGTGGATAACAAACTGACATAGGCCTATCATGGTTAAAAAAATATTGCTTGTGAATACTAGTAAAATTACCTGATCTTTCTCTAACAAAGCTCTCCAATTTTGCATCTCAACTAGTGCTTTAGCAGACCGGAAAGAAAGTGCAATTCGGTAGTTCAGATCACCCAGCCAAATGACACGGCTAAATACATATATGAGGAACTCATCAGATAATAGAAACAATATACTGAGTAGAAGAAACAAGTAGGGCCTGTTTGGTAAGGGTTATTTAACTGAAATAGCTTATATTGATGCCTAAACGCTTAGATTTACGGTGTCTGACTTTGCACCCAGCTTAAGACTATAAAAAAAGCTTATATTGATTAATCTATTGTTTTTTATGAAAGGTTAAGCGTTTAGTAACACCTACGTCAGCCAAATAAGCAACTCAAAAGCTACTTATTCCACATATGAGTACAATAATCCACATTTGACTACCAAACAGAGCCTTAATGATTTTTAGACGTTAGGACCAAAAAGCTCTTACTCATGCTCAAGGATGGTTTCTGGGGTTTTTTCAGCACTCATGCCATTCACGGGAGGAAACCTTGTTTTCTTTATGATTTCCATAACATCAGAGTTTCTGCGCAACTCATCGCCTTCTTTCTGACCCGACGTTAAGTGTGTGCACACAAAGCAAAAGCTTGTTTGGTGCAATGACATGCTGACCGAAATTGATCCCTGAAGAAACTTATGTTAGTCATTGATAGAATCTATATACAATTATACGACAAATTAAATTTCACGCTTCAGAAACATATATCAGTCCCACATCAAAATACTAAAGAGGATTTTATAAGGATTTGTGTGGGACTGATATAAAATCCCACGCTTCAGAAACATATATCAGTCCCATGGATCAATTGTTTTAAGGTGGGGGTGAGGCCATGGCCAAACTTAGAGATACAATAGTTATTAGTTACTAGTCTAGGTATATTTGCATTTATTCTATATTGAATTGTTTGTTCCACATTTGTTAAATATGAAGACTACTTCTCTTATCAAGTCTTAATATACTAAGATCCTATCATTTACAAGGATACTCAAAAAATGATAAATAAAAAGAACAATAGTACATAGTATAATTTATGTCTTAATAATACCTTATTTCCAAGGTAGCCCATCAGTCCTCTGCCAACACATGAAACTTTCATATTCCGAACATGTTCCCTGAGTTCACTACGAACCCAAACTGTGAGAAAAATCCCAACCATTTGTTTACTTGCAACCAAACAGTACCTTGAGTTATTCCTTGGCATTCTATACCCCTCTTCCATTGGTACACACCCTCCTCCTCCGTTAACAGAGGGTGAAAACAGCACAGTACTGGGTGAATCCCCGGGCCCACAATCATCGTCTGATGAGCCCCATCGTGAGAAGTCACTGGGCCTTTGTCCCCATGAGTAGTCACTTTGCCTATGAGCAGAGGAGTAGTCACTAGGCCTATGAGCAGAGGAGTAGTCACTAGGCCTATGACCCGAGTAGTCACTTTGCCTATGAGCAGAGGAGTAGTCACTGGGCCTTTGACTAGAGGATGAGGAGTCACTGGGACGGTGACCAAATATCACACGGTCACAAACACTGTAGCGTCTGTCCAAGCGGGGCATTGAGGTATCGTGTTCCGTCCTCCAGCAATGTGGTGTTTGGAAAGAACGCCGTGGATAGAAAGATGATGCCTTGTGTTTGGTTGACCCCTCAAAATCAGCATTCCATTCTGCGATTGGGTTGGGAAGGGGGGATGGGGTGTACGACCCTCCACTGCTCTGGCTGTTGTTAAGAGTCTTCTGGATCAAAGATAGCCATTTTTTGGCAGGACCGTTGTCTTCGGCCCCCAAAATATTGCCAGCGTTTAGTGGAACTATTTCTTGAAATCTGGATACAATAGTAATAGTTCAAATATCAAATGATTATTGTTTTAGAAAAGTATACACATATTAAGGAGCTTAACATAAAGATTCTTCAAGCATTTTATGAAGAAAAAGTGAATATTGTAGAATTTGGAAGTTGGTAGATGATATGCATTGAAATGCCACGTAGTTCGGAATTAGGGAGTAATAAAGAAAAAATTGAAGAAGTCATACCCAAGAACATAAATATCAGCTGGAGGTGCAGAATGAAGCCAATCATCAAGAATCAAGTCACTTGATGGAGATTTGCCTCCCACATTCCAAGTAGCCACAAACACGCTGGAAAGTTGAAGAAAAACAATTACATTATTTCATATGATTATAACTAATAAATGGAAGATGCCAGATTCTTGAATGGAGAACTAAATCCAAGAACAAACCTATGATTCTGGACGTTTATGACCTGAGGATGATGATCAACGTCATCTCTCCTCTGTCGAGGCTTTTCCGCACCCCGGCTTGATTTTTCTGCATATTCAAAAGGGTACACTTGAGTTAATTTAAAAACAAATTAGGTAAAATTCCCTAATAAAAAATGTCACTTTACCAGTTCTACTCTTCTTGAATGTCCATGGCTCTCTCTCAGAAAAGCTATTTCTCCACTCATCACAACCTACAGAAGGGAAAAAAATGATTCTTTCATTTCAGTACCATCAAAATTGCCACTCATGGCAGAGTAGAAAAATAAGAAAATAATAATTTTTTCATCTCTCACGCGCAAGAACCCATCTAAAAGTTTCTTTTGACCAAAACATCACAGTGATGATCAATTTCACTTCATAAGTTGGCTTCCATTTCAAAACCAGAAGACAAAATAGCTTAAATGGAGTAAAAATATCTATCACAGATAGCGAAATACACAGAAAGACAAAAGATTAGATTCTGCAGCTTCATTAACCACTACCCCCCAAAAAAACCATTGTAGTCCTAGTAATAAAAAACAATAATAGCAAAAATAGAGGGGGTAAGATGAAGAAGTGTCCAAGCAAATCTAAGGAGAAGTAGAAGATCAGAAGCACACCTGCTCCATTAACAACTTCATCAGTCTGCAATGCATCAGTTTTTCCCTTGATGTTGAACCACTTTCTGACCAATTTCTTTGACCAAGAAAGCTTCACCAATCAGTGAGAACACAAGTCAGCAAAAAACACAAAAACTGATTACCAGGGAAAAAAGAAACAAGATTAACATTAGCATTTCCCAAGGAAATTACTAATCAAAGCAGAGAACTAAGGATGGTTAATAATCCATAGAAAAATTAATAAAAAGGAAAGAAAATAACCTTGCTTTTCTTGAAATTTTCATCTCTCATTGTTTCGCTGCTCCTTCATGTACTACTCTGCTTCTACAACTCAACCTCCCAAATTTCTTAACTTTCCCAAAGATGGCGGCTTTTTTACTTTTCTTCAATTCTTACGAAGAAAAAAGATCACAGATTGACCGTTTACAAGTGTTTCCAATCTCTGGCAACTCCCAAACACCAAGACCTAAATACCCATTTCTCCTCCAAGAATCACTCTTCACTGACATTCTTTATTGGTGAAATCAATAAACATAAAATAGTGCATCGTACAGGTAAACAAAGGCTCAGAAACACAGTGGACCAAGAAATGAGACAAATATGACACTTAAGGCAAAGCACAAGACAGTGTAGTCTAAAATAGAGAGAGAGTGTGTGGGCTGAGGAGGGGAGCTTTCTCTTCTTTCAATTCAATTCTCATAAACAGCAAAGTATATAATAAAACAGAATAAAGTGACCTCAAATCTCTCCCTCCTCATTGCTTTGCTTTTTTGCTCACCAAAACCCAAGGCTCGCCGGCCCATTCAGCCGGGCAACGGGCAGGTTGTTTTCTTAGACTATAAAGCGACCTAGTCAGCTGCCCAAAGGTCAGCAAAAGTGCAAGATTGTGGAGATCTGGAATGTGGTATACTAATCCAATGTCATCTTTTTTCCTTTTTATTACTGCACAAAAATTTATTTGCCATTTGGTCCAAGTTAGGGAGTAAAAAGCAAAAAAAGTATATGCGAAATAAAGCTAAAGGAGGAATGTGTGTTCTTATTTTAGCAGCAATAATAGTTGTACTATTCTCATCTCTGCATTGGGTTTTGTCCCTGGGAATGTATTCTTAATTGTGCACCATAACCTTTCCTTTTGCATTTCTCTTTTTCAATTCAATGAAAATTACATTCTGTATGTGCTTTTAGAATTTAGAGCCATTTAATGTAGAAATTCAGGATTGTTTTGAGTTTATAAAAAATTGTTTTTTATAATTAGTGGGACTTGGTGTATGCCTCAGGCGGCTACTATATTTTAATTGGATATTTTAATGTTCTTTTTCCTTCCAAACCAAATAAGTTCACTATATCTCAATCAGTTGTAGCTTTGGATATGTTGAGATGGCACAACATCAAGGGCAGAGCACTCTTATCAATAATGATATCATCACCAAATGATGAAAAAAAATTGTGACTGAAAAACTAAGTAGATAAGTAAATGCACACAAAAAGTCTCCAATAGTGCCCAAAACCTACCCCAAGTTCATTTTTGTGAACTAATAATAGTGTTGCATAGGAATCAAATAATTTGCGCTCATTTTGGGATTCGAATTTGTATAAGACTATTCAAATTCGAAAAGTTCAAATAAAAATAAGAATATTAAATTTGATTCAAATATATATATATATATATATATTAAATTTGATTCAAATAATACATATATGAAATATGTATTATCAAATACAAATATGAATATCAACATATTCGGTTCGAATGTAAATCAAATATACGAAGTATTCATTAACAATCGTTAGAATAGCGTAATAAGAATAATAGTAATAATGATATTATACCAACTTTTAGAGCTAGTTATACGCACAAAGTGTAGCTATACATTTACGCATACATATTCCAAACTCATTTATAATAAACGAGTAGTATCATAGGAAGAGTAATAATCTTACTTCAATCTGAACTCGTGAATATTTAGTGTTAGGTTGTTGACAAATCAAAGTGTAGCTCATAGATACATTTACATATACATATTCCAAACTCATTTATAATAAACGAGTAGTATCATAGGAAGAGTCTAATAATCTTACTGAACTCGTGAATATTTAGAGGGTGTTTGGAGCCCCAAAAATGGGCTTATAAGCCTGAAAATAAAAAAATACAGCCAAACACAAGGCTTTTGGGTTGTTTGGGTTGAATTATCTTATCAGCTGAAAAAGCAACTCGAGAGCTACTTTTTGAGCTGCGAAATATTTACTTACTGTTGCAAATTGTGAATACTCCTTTACCCCTTATTTTTAGCTTCATTGCTTCGTTACTTGAGAAGTACAGAGTAGCTGTTTTCATCATGTTGTCTGCGAATATGAATTTTCGGTAGTGGATGGTATTTTATGTTTCATTTTTATTTTAAATTAAATGCATGTCCATTTGTTAATGTACTTTAGAGAAAGTATATTTATTAAATTAATTTACACATATTAATTACAAAAATAATACTAACGTCGCTCATTCAAAAATACGCATTTTTTAGAACGTAGTTGTATAAAAAATCGACGTAAGAGTAAGAATGAAATTTCCAAAGTAATCAATTATTTAAATAGGCTTATAATTAGCTAATCAAGCAAAAGTAGTTCATTAGTAAAATTAACACCCATATATTTAACACAAATAAGTTAATACCCCTTATAGTAATTTTATACACAATCAGCCATTTTAGCCAATATATTACCAAACACTTTCACTTCACCAAATTAAGTCTTTTCAGACTTTTCAGCTATTCCGGCCAATGCAGCTGTCACCAAACAGGCTCTTAGTGTTGGGTTGTTGCCAAATCCAACAAAGAACTATTATTCGACTTATTTTTGTAAATGTATATTTTTATAGATTGGGCACCCTGAATCCTAAATCAAAATTTTTACTACCTCGTATCTTTTTTCTTGAAATAATTAATTTAACCACCTTTGTGTAATACAGTGTATCAAACAATATGTATTACCGTAGTATTTGGTAAAATTGGTTTTGATCTTTTTTGTTTTTTGAATTATGACAATGTAAAAATTAAGTATCACAAACTAGAGGTGTAAATGAGCCAAGCCGCTCGCAAGTTGCTTGTGGATCGCTCGGGAAATGCTCGACTCGAGTTCGGTCATATTCAGCTCAACTCGAGTTTGGCTCGACTCGAATAGTAAACAAACTCAATTCAAGTCTATTTATTTTGGACTCGTGACTCGCGAGCCGGTTCGCGAGCCACTGTGTCATATTTTATATATAATACTCCGTAATTATATATGTAAATATTATACATATGCTTTTTTTGGAATATGTATTCTGATTTAGGACTATTGCATTTTCAATACGTATCACGAAGTATATTATAATAGTAATAATTACAAAAATAATAACATGTATGTAGTATTACTATTATAACCATAATCTATAATAAGTATAATATGTACCTGTAATATTTATTGACAGTAAAATAAAAAATAAAAATGTCAAGAAAGGAGATATAAACTAAAAATGAGAATGGATAAGTACACATATTATATTTTTAGCTTGAGCTCGAACATCTTACTCGACTTCAAACCTATAAAAATAATTAGCAACCGAGTTGGAACAGAGCTCGAACTGAGCTTGAGTTGAGCTCGGCTAGAATTCGAGCCCGAATTATTTAACACGGCCAAGCTCGAGATCGAGCTAATGAACTCTTATCAAGTTCAAGCTCAAACGTACCCATGTTCGGAATCGGCTCGTTTGCATTCCTATCACAAACTAAAGAAATGGCCAAATTAAATAAGAAACTTGTGTGGAGTCCACATATTTTCTGGTTGGAAGCCTTTGAAAGTCCGCATACAAAATACCGTGAGTCAAACAAAAGCTATAAATTATCAAATAAAGCTTTAATTTGTAGAAGATCTTAACTTTGGCATAAACTTTGATTTGTTTTTATTTTATTTCAAAAGTTCACTCATTTATTGGACTAGAAAACGTTATTTTGGAAATCCTATAAATCCTTACACATTGATAAGACTATAAGAGTATAAGAGACTATTGAATCCTTCGTAGATTCAACCGAGAGAACTTGATGAGAGGCGAGGTTGAGTATTTGTAACACAATGAAATCTGTAAGATGCAAACACAGTGTTGAGGTTGGGAGGGAAGGAGTACAAGTTGCTTGGTAATAACTATGAACTTTATTACTTTACTTTAATTGTTTGACTTTGGCACCATTAAGTATTAGCAATCTATTTTGACAATATGTATGTATCAATGTAAGTTTAAAATCATATGTAAAATATTGATTATTATAACTGACTCAAAAGTAAAAATTAATATTGATTAAACATGGGAGTGGGCAAGGATATTGATTAAATGAGCTATAGAAAAGTCATCAATTTGTAATCTAATATTAAAACTTCTATTCTCAAGATATATGAACTCATCATCCGTCCAAAAATAATTCACAAAATTCTTAAGATATACGAAGTATTTAAGAGGTTTATTCAAAAATATTACAGAAATGAAATTTATTTATAAAAATATAACTAATACAGTAATTACTATACTATAATCTTATAATCACTTACATGTAGGAATTGAACATAAATTACTATGACCAAACTATTAATGTAGTCACTACAGGTAGGAATGTAGGATGTCACATTTTCATAAATAACATTTATTTTTGTCATATATATGTACGTATTTTTTTCATGATTTAAATATAATGGAATGGTAAAACAATGACTTCTATCAATCCAATGAATGATAGGTCATAGGTACACCCCTCATTTTATGGGTATGCACTGTATCGCTCATCAATTTTTTTTATTGAAACCGTGAGAACATAAATTATGAACGTATATCACAAGTTCACCACCCCAATGATTTAGTTCAAAGTTAATTATATGATCCTAATTATACCTGATTAATAAATGTGAGAGTATGCCAGAATCATTTGACCGTACAATAATTGATCTTGATCAAATTTACGGGGTGTCTTTTGGAAGTAATTAGACGTTAACGATTAAAACAAAGATTTAAATTAAACTACCTCCATCCCCGCCTAAACTTTTTATTTGCCTCTATCGGATGTCCTAACAATGGGACTTCATTTAGTTTATATTTTAAGAAATACTTGGTATTTTAAATGATAAATTTATCATCAAATATTAATATTAAAAGAAATACTTTATAATATCACAGTTGTCACCAATGACTTCACTATGTTATATACTCATCAATACAATTTTTCAAAATATACTTGAATTTTCTTATTTAATTCTTGGTTAAATAGTTATATTAATGTTCAATGAGAAGCTTATGTGGGAACAAAGGTGGATGTTTTTAATTGAACTAAAATTTTATTGTTTGGTTTCATCTGCTCTGTTTAAATCTCATATGATTTGATTCGATCTGAACTCGTCTGGTCTGACATGATAGATGTCTGGTTTATATGTATCTCATAACTATCGATGTCTGAGTCTGTTTAAGTCTGATCTGGTCTAGTTTGTTTTATTTAAGACTAATATGGTCTGAATTGAAATCAATCCAAGTAAAAACATTCGTAGTAGTAACTTTAATCATATTGACTTATGTTTATTTTTTACATTTAACTGATCATCATCTTATACTTAGCGTAAAAATAGTTACTCCGTATATTTTTGTAAACAAATTTTATTTCGTCAATATTTTTGAAAAAACTT